AGCATCACTATCCCTTTGGTGAGAGAAGTTGTTGCCATTTGCTCCTGCATGGAAGGTGTCCCTGTCAGAGAAGATGCCACCACAATGCTGGGCTCAGGAACCAGCTCACTCACAGGAACTGAACCCCTGAGCCACGACACTTCTGCCTGCATGATCCCAGGCCTTGGAGCATCCCCTCGATTTTTCAAACCTTTGAGCCTGCATAAGTGGATATTGACTTTTCTAAAGAATTTTGGCAATTCCTAGGACTCGGAGGTGCCAAGAAATAATCCAGAGCCCCTTTAGATGAACTCCTTCTTAAGCTTGAAATGTGCCCTGGCTGTGTTCCTGCAGGGTCAGCCTGGGCTTGCATTTCGGTTTGTTTGTGCTTTGCCTGTGTTTTGGATTGCCTTCCTCCCCGCTGAGATCCAGGGCAGCATCCACGAGGAGATTTTGGAAGGACAGCGTGTGCTGTGTGTCTCTGTGAAGGAGCAGTGGTTGATGCTGCCAGCTTGAGATGTGATCGCTGTGTGAGATGGACTGATCAAGAATGTGATACCTTCCTTCCCTGTCAGTGACACGTGCCTTCATTTCCAGAAAAAGAGGGATCCCTCTCCCCGGCGACACTGTTGAGGAGCTCCTGAAGTACGTCAGCTATGACACACCGCTGACACTTCCCCAATTTCTAGAGAAATTTAATTACTACATGCCTGCTATTGCGTAAGTACCCCGCTTTTTGCTTCTCCCCCCTCAACCCTTGGCTCAGCCCTGGAGGTTCCCTGTGTGCCCTGGGGGCGAGCAGTCCCAGTGATGGGTGGCCCTGCTGTCCCTGCAGGGGTGACCGTGAGGCAGTGAGGAGAATCGCCTACGAGTTCGTGGAGACAAAGGCAAAGGAAGGAATCACCTACGTGGAGGTCCGGTACAGCCCTCACCTCCTGGCCAACTCTGGCGTGGATCCCATCCCCTGGGGACAAGCTGAGTGAGTGATCCTGCTGTGCCAGGGAGCTGCTGGGTGGTCAGCTGGGCATGGAGAAGGCATGGCCCACTCTGGACAGCAGTTGTGTGTCCAAAGCCTGCTGTAACCAAAGCTCCTCTCTCCCCCCATGCAGTGAGCACCAGCATGCTTCCACCTCTCCTTCCCTTCCCACTGTAGGGTTTTTCATCTTGAATATCTCTGTGTGCTGCTGTGTTTTAATGTCCCTTGCTCTGGGCACTGGTTTCTGCATGTGCAGGGCAGCTGTG